TAGAGTGATGAGAGGATTATTATAAAGATCTAATGAGGTAAGTGTAGAGTTGTGTTCAAGTGCTTGACAAATATTAGTAACTCCTCTATCACTAATGGAGTGGCCTTTGATGCCTAGTTCTTTTATCGTTTTATTATTGGTTAGTAGTATACACAAGTACTGGATACAATCATTAGTTAATGGAGTGTGCCATATCTCAAGTTTCCTCAGGTTTAGTGTATGCAGTTTAGTTGATGATAGTAGAGATACTACGGTACTATTAGTAGATGAATCATGGAGTTTAATCTTCTTATGATTGTTATTAATATTCCTAATCACTTCATTACACTGAACTGGAGATGGAGAGCTAAGGTATACCCTGTCACTGTCCCAGTCCACACTCCCAGTGACTCCTAATGGCAGCCAAAGGATTATATTTATACTTGTATGTTATATACATAATAATACACATATTCACATCATGTGTATATACAAATACACACAACTTTCATAAACAAATACAGACACAGCTAGTAGTTGTCACTGACCGACTGTATTATGTGAATATGTGTGTTTGTTATAATGTATTAAGTATGTACAATAATCACAAATATTACCTTCATCATGTTGTTTCTTGTCTTGTCTCAGTGCAGATATCATAATAGGATCATCATTAATAGTCTCCAAGAAAAGAGAAGCTTTCTCATCATTACTAGATGAATCAGTCCTTATTTTCTGTAGAATAGGAAGGGACACTTCTTCCACTGACAGTATAAACTCTAACAATTGAAGTGACTCCAACATTGAGTAAACACAACTACTAGGAATGACTCCCTCATCACCAGACACCAAGGATCTTCCTTTCCACCAAAAGCTATTCTGATTCTCATATATCTTCAGCTGCTCTCCCTCACTGAATGATATTTCACCTCTCATTGTTGCATGATAGTTATAACGAGCAATAAAAACAGATTCTGGTGATGGTTTATTCACTATATACCAGTAATATAATATATCAATTAGTTATAATGACACATACCTTTATCATAATCTTTATCTGTCAATACTACAGATTCAGCAGCTGATGCAGTCAATGTAAGTTGCTCCCTCCACTCTGATTAATGAATAATAATTAACAATGAATAAATACCATAGTGTACCTTTTATTACATCTCTATATTCTTCATTCTCTTCTCCTATATTTAGTATATGTACACTCATTAATGATATCTGTTCTTGTAGTTCAGCTATTTCTCTCTTAATATCTATTAATGATTCATTTTGACCCAGTAAACCTATCATAGTATAATTATAATACACTAACACATACATTATGATTCAGTACCAGTTTTATTTGTTAATAATAATTGCAATTGATCTATTTCCATTCTCATTCCTCTTCTGATTCTGTATGATGCTATAAACAGTATAGTAACAATAATAAATAGTAACAATAATACTGACCTGAAGTAGCATTTCTTGGTAAGGATAGAAGTTGTTGAATTTCCTTTATTCTCATTTCTACATTAATTCAATTATAATTAATAAAGTTTTATTATACTTACTTGTTAGTGTTTCTTCTAATAGTTTGTTTGTTTTCATTTCTTTTATTAATTGTTTATTAATTATTGTCACACTTGTATCAGTTGATAGTATATCTGAAATATAATAATTATTCATCAATTAATAATACTGGTCAACAACCATTAATGTATTATTATACCTTGATTAATTACTGATTGAGGTGTTGATTCTTCAGATTCTTTCTCCTCCAGTCTTGCTACTCTCTCTTCCTATATTAAGTTAGTTTAATAAAATAATCAATCACAAATTATTATACCTTTGTATCATGAGGTTGTTCCTTTATCTCCTGTACCTCCTCTTCTAGTGGTTCCTGTATTTTCTTTATAATACAGTATATAATGATAATTACTGACAGTATATATACACATACTTGTATCTTTTGTTTCTTCCATATTGTGCAGTATCCAACAGTAAGCTTCATTAGACCATTCTTTATTAATAATTCAAGATTCTCACTCAATTTTATAATGAGAGCTCCAGTGAGAGAGTGAGGGAAGGAGCAACTGACAATGATAGAGTTTCCTCTCTTGATGTATTTTATTTTTGCTAATTTACCAGATGTCTTAGAAACAATTTTTTTAATATTCTGTAGCATGTGCTCATCTGGTTCCCAGTCAAATACATATGTAACTGTTTCACATTGAAGAGAAGGGCTACCTCCTAATGCTTCAAACTTCTCATTTAAGCAAAGCGTAACCTTTACTGTGCGACAAAACTCTTTTAATATGCCATTGTATTCTATTACGTATTTTTCAGCTTTTTTGATTTTGAATTCTTCCACCAATGATTGAAGCAGCTCAATATCAATTAACGAGCACTCTTTCTCTATGACTCGCAATATTTCAGTGATATTGGAACACAAAGACAGCTTTGGTTCAAGACTACTTTTACAGCAACGTAAAAATTCCTTTATGTCATCTAATTGAGGTGGCTTGTTCTTTATTATTTTATGAACATTGTACAACATTCGACCATAAGACGTTTGAATTGAAGTGAATTCACGACTCATGCATTCAGGAATGGCTATCTCAACTATTAGAAATAAAAATAATAACAACGGTTTCATTATTAATAAATTACCTACCAGTTGGTGTATTAGTTGGAGTAGGTGACAGTGTAGTTGTTCCAGTGCTTAACGTATCAGTGCTCATATCATCATCAGGAATAACAACTTTAATAAGCTGTTTATCATCATTGAAGGATTGGTCAATAAAAAGTTATGAGCATCATTGTTATAATCTAATAGACCCACCATAATCTTTTTGTATAACTGTTCCTAGTTTTATATTACCAGTGAACTTGCACAACACACTAGCAAATGTTTGTAGTAAACTATACTTGCTTTCAATAGCTACTATAATGGCAGCTAACAGGACTTCCCGTTGATTAGGAACAGAGGGACTAGCTGATTCCACTCTAGCCAATACTTGTCCTGTTATGACACCCTCTCTTTGAAGCATAATAGCTACACTGACAGGATTAGAGAGAGACTGAGAGAGGAGTGGATGATGATTGTTGAATACATCAATAGCCTTAGCTTTACGCTCTATAGAATACACACACACACAGTCAATACTAATACAATCAGTGATATTAACTTACTCTCTTGATCTAACTTGTCAGCTGCAGCATTCTCATTCATAGATTTAAGAGCATCTGACAGTGAGTCAAAGGTAGCTCCTCCTTTACTGTCAACATTATCAGCTCTGGACAACCACTGGGAGAGACACTCAGCCAAACACTCATAAGTTGTGTCACTGTCCCTTTTAATGATGTCCAGTGTGTTCTTGTGTAGTCCTAGTCTCAGTCCTAGTTCTTTCCATCTCTTTTGAGGGAAACCACATCTCTTCAACAGATCAAGTACATCAATAAGTTGATCTAAAATCATATTCAATGATACATAGATAGTTAATGAACATTACCAATAGTCAAAGGAGAAGAGAAGAGACTCAGAGAAGAGGAACATAAACTGGTTTTAGTTGCCATTGATCAAAGAACAAGACGTAGCTGAAGCTAGCCCCACATTGCCCAGCCTCACATTCCATAGTAACCACAAGGAATTTCACACGCCCACGCAACTTCTTAACCACGAATGTGAGGCTACAAGGAGAATGTGAGGCTCGATGCAAAGACCCGGGCCAAGCAGCCAGAGCCAAACTGAATAACTTCGCTCTTTACTTGTCGTGCTCAAACTATTCCTAGTTATAGGCTGGCTTGATTAACTTGAGTATCTCTTGGTATGTTATAATTTTGTAACAAATTTCAATTTATTTTAATTTTACTGTCACAATAATGATATATAATAATAATGATAAATAATATATAATAATAATGATAACAACAATGATCACAATAATAATTATAATATTCCTTTACTACTTCACAATAATAGAATAATAATGATAAATAAGTACATGTATAATTAATAATAACAGCATCAATAATAATAATAATAATAATAATAATAATAGGCCTAATAATAGTTTTTATTTTTATTATTCTTTAATGTAAGTAGGTTCAGAAGTAGGTATCTTGCTTTCTAATATACAATTTACAGCTGCTTCA